TAAATAAGAATATAGTTAGCAGTTGTCAAAAGTTTAGACATAATAGAAGTAAAACCAATAAATCACTGAAGTAGTAATTAGTAAAAGTTTATTGTATACATACCAAAAAGACAGTTTGCAAACTGGGAGCTCTCAAAACATGAATAAGGTGCAAAGGTATATTGTTATAAAGCAGCTTATACAGTGAGAAACCAGTGACTGTTTATTTTTCACATTGATTGGTTATAATATTAGAATTTTCTTAAACGATAGGGAATTCACCAATGGTTACCTCATATCAACCTTGAGAAACAATTCAAGTTTTGCTTATCATTTCCAGAGGCATAACAAGGAATGATAGAGGTCAAGTTAGCCTTGTTAAATAAGCAAAATTAAGCTTTACTTGTATGAATAAACTGGTTTTGTCTACTTAGAGAATTTTCAAGATTAGTCTCCATTTGTTTTTTATTTTAACACAGGATGGCTAACTCTCAGGACCACGAACAGGCCTCAAGGAGCAAAGGCAGAAGAGTCTGAGGCATTGTTTGAATACATTTGCTTTTAAATCCCTTGGTTCACCTTTCTTTTGCTCTCATCATCTGGTCTACTGAATAGAGGCTGGAAGCCTTTCCGTGGTTTGACATCACCGTAACCAGAAACTGATCTAAATATGATTTTGGTATTTCCCATGGGTTTCTCTAGCTAAACTTACTTAGGAGTAATAAGTTAACTAGATATTGTTGAATGGGAGTGGAAAGATCTAAAAGATCTTTCCATGCCGATTGAAATTTATCTCAATATTTTTTCTTTTGTGTGACACACACACACACACACACACACACACACATACACACACACACACACACACACACACACTGAATTATGTATCTCAATTCCTTGCTGGAAATCATCAGTACTGATGAAGTGAGAGTTTGGGGTTTCATTTGGTTTTGATTTTGTTTTTTGTGGGGATTTGGGAGGTTCTCATTTGGAACCAGAGAACACTTGAGTGGGTTGCTAATGTATAAGGAGACCTTTCTGAATAGAACTATACTAAGATAGAGGTGGGAGGATGCTTCACAACTTTGGTCCCTTGGGATGGTTCTAAACATTTACTCTACATTTGTTGATGGTTTATAGCAACTGTAAGAAAGAGAAAAAAATAAGAGAGGCTCATAGACTTTACTCTAAGTGGTATCATTAACTGAAATGAGAAAGGTATTTCTGGTTTTCTCTCATTATTCTTTCTTTTCAACGTTTTTCTTGTTATTGTCTTTTATTTTTTTCATATTAACTTTAGGATCAAATTATATCCATCCAAAAAATAAATACAATTTTTTTTATTGGAGTTATATTGAATTTGTAATGAACATAGAATTGTTATCCTTATGTTGTTGAGCCTTTTACCCAGGTACGTGATTTATCTTTCTACTCATGTTTTATATAAAGTATAGAATCAGACTTTTGCTTTGTGAGCCAATTTGAGAATATTATTCTTTTAAATAGATAACTTAGGAAAATTTATATTTATTATGATAAATATACATGGTATGAACTATCATATTTTCTGTTCTGTTTGTGTTTTTATGGTTTTTACTTATTTTTTACATTTTTTTATATGGTTCTTTTGATATTTAGGCAGATTTGTGGTTACTTTAATAATTATAACTTTATATACTACTCTTAGTTTTCTACTTCTTTATATGATATCTATTGATTTTATTCCGTGATTCCATTTTTGTCTCCTACATGATATTTGCCAAAAAAAATTATATTTGTAGTATGTTTACATTATACTTTTAAATATTTTTATACTTCTATTATTTGATTGGTTAGCTTTAAGTATCTGTTGGTTCCAGTCATTCGATATTAGGCAATCAGCAAATTTTTCATCTTTGCCCTTTTCATTTTAATTTTGTTGCACCATTTTTACATAATCAGAGCAAATAGCATTTACGTTTTGTCAGTCACCCCAATCCTCGCAAATTTTTTGTCTTAGTTTTGTAATTAAATATATTTAAAAACCTACAATAGTCCTGTTGCCAGTTTCTTCAGATATATTTTGATTTATTAAAGTTCATCTGTTAGCAAGCTCGTCAGGAAAAATTCATTGGAACAATATTCCCTGAGTTCTTTCAAAATTGTTTTCAACCTTTAATCTTGAAGGACAGTTTGACTGGATATAAAATTCTAGGCTCCCAGTTTTTTTCATGAGCCTCTTGTAGGTATTACTCTGCTGTTTTCTGTAGTTAAATGTAAAAATCTGAATTTTTGCCTGGTTGCTCATAGAATTTTTTTTCATCTTTAAAATCCAGATATTTTACTGAAATGTGTCTCAGTGTTGACCATTATAGAATTTGTATGGAGCAGAGTTAATCTCTCATCTGTCTGCTTTTTTCCCCAATTTTTGTGACTTTAAATTTTTATTTTTAAAATTTTAGCATACTATTTGGTCATAATGTTCAAGTTTTTCATAACACCATTTTGCTGTTGTGTTTATTGATATGCTGGCAAATGCTTTAAAAAATTTTTTTTGCTTTTCTTTTATTCTTGGGTCTGCCACTTTTTAAATGCAGTCTTTTATTTACTTTTAAAAATTGCATATAGTAAAATTCACTCTTTTTGGTGTACAGCTCCAAGAATGTAGACAAACATATATAGTCATGTAACTACCACTAGAATCTGGACAGTTCCATGACCACTCAAAATTCCCCTGGGCCAATCCTTATATCGTATCATTTTATCAATGTGTTGTCAAATGCTTTTTTTGTTATTACTTATCATTGAATGAGTTGGATTCCTTGGGTCTGCTGTTTGCAGGATACTTATGCTAGGGGTGGGACAGGAGGTGCTGGGCAGCCTTCAGATTTTTTCTTCACCACCTTCACAGAGTCAAACTGCTTCCTGTTTAAATGACTCCTCGGTCTGAGTCTTTGTATTACTACCTACTGTGAACTGTACTGGAGGGCTTCTTCTGCCTTTATTCTTATTTCCCTTGCTACAAATTTTTGCATTTCGATGTGGACCTTTCACCTGCAGGAAGTATATTTTTGCTCCTGGCCATCTTATTGTTCTCCACATTTCTTTGCTGCCTTTCTTCCTGTATAGCATCTACTAATTCAGCTGTTCTGGAGTAACTCTTACATATTTTCGGAGTCAGTGGAAAATATTTCTGCTAGTTTGCTAGAAATATAGATTGTTCAGTTTTTATTGTTGTATGTTATGCAAGAAGAGGAGATAGAAGATACTGTCTCACACAGCCATGTTCTTTCTTACTAAAGTCTTTCCTTTAAGCTCATCACTGCCTTTCTCTCTTCTTTCTTGGTTCACACTTAAACACTGGAATCCCTCAGGCTGCTAACTTCTCTTATGTATATGTCACTTCCTTAAAGCATGTATGAATACTTCGTATTATAGCCTATGCTTCCTCATCATTTCCTAAACACATAATTTCAAAATTGGTTTATTTTTTCCTGCCATTCTTTTGGCTTGGAACACTTTTTTCTTCTTTCCCTGATTAGCATATTCCAGCCTATACTTTAAGACCTAAAATAGTTTTTTGCTTCCTTTGGAACCCTCCTTGACACCTCCTCAAGATGAGGCATCTGTCACAATGAAGCCAAATTAATCTCTCATCTGTCTGACCCATACTACATTGCCCCATTTTTAGTGCACTTGTCTTGCTGTTTTCAGTATTTATAAATCTTATTATCAAGCCAATAAGTATCCCCTTCATCTATGTATTAACTTGTCAATACAGAACTTTCAAATGCTGAGTTTCTAGGATCCTACTTATAGCTCTCCTGTGATGGTCAGTACATATCCTCATTTGGTCTCATTTGATTTTCCACTGGTCAGTTTAAAGGTACAATATTATGAGTCATCTACATTCCCTTATCTAGTTTTTGTTCTCAAAGTTATTTAATCTTTTCAAAGCAATTTTCTGTCTTTTAGGATTTAACTGAAACTTATTTAGAATTGGAGCATTTATAAATTATGAAAAAGCTCAATAATCATTAATGGAAGTTCTTCTGCATTCCAGGTGATGCAACTGTGACAATAGCTCACAGATATACTCCCAAAGAACAATTGAAGATCCATACTCAGCTGGCAGATGTTATCATAGTAGCTGCAGGTAAGTCTTTAGAGGCTGTTATTTGGTGGAATATCATCAGCAGAATAATTCCTTCCCTAATTGCTGACATGTCTGTAAGAACCACTTTTTGGGAGAGTTATGTATATGTATGGTTAACTTTCATCGACTGGATTCAGCCTCTTGGCAATCATCATACTGTCCATTGTGCCTATGTTAGCATTTGTCACTTCATTATGGAAAATCTGAACAGCTTTTGGAATGACAGATTTGACACAAGAACAAATGTGCACTTTGCTGATTCCTTTGGCAGACATAATTAAATCTAAACATGAACGAGTTAGGGAGAAACTGGTAGGAAATGCTGTTGAAGGGACAGTAAGGGCTAGCACATGTAGGACCCTGTAGACCATGGTAAGGACTTTGATATAAGCTAAGATGTCTGAGAGTAGGAGATTGACATGGTCTGGTTTATATTTTTAAAAGGTGACTCACACTGTGTCAAGAAGAATTGACTCTAGAGGGGCAAGAATAGAAACACAACAGTTATTGTACTTTCATGTAATGGATCTAGTTTTTTTCTTAATTTGTTTTATATTTGAACATACAAAATAATTCTACCCTTTGCTTCTACCTTTACTTTTGCCACATAGTATTTTTACATTGAAGACGTTGTGACTCTTCTTGCTTTTATCCATAACTTGAATGAGAGCCTTTTTCATTTTGTTTATTAATTAGATGTTATTGGTAATTTCCAGACTTTAGATTTGAATTGCTCAGCATTTACAAGGTATAAAGAAAGAGTAAAAATTCCAGAAGAAATTGAGTTTGATGAAGAGAATAATGATAGTTTAAATTAGTTTCAACCAAATTTAATTCATTTTCTTATGCTAATATAGGCCCTTTTATGGAACTCAAAATATGTATGTGATAACTTCAGGAGGAGTAATTTGCCTCCTTATAGAGTAAAAATAGAAATGTCCTATTTCTAGAAGTTACCACTAAGCTGGTACAGCTAACTATATCCTCTTTTTATGAGAAATTATATTTAGGTGGTATCAAATGCAAGTTTTTGAACTGGATTGATGTAAGTAAGACAGATGTTTAGAGAGGAAATAAACTCTTTCAGACCACAGATCAACATTAAGTGAAATACTGCTGCAGCAACTGATAGATTTATGGAGACAAATATTGCATTGACTTCTTTTTAGAAACACTTGGATTCATACACAAGACTCAAAATTTGGTGAGTAGAGAGGAATTTGGTCATCTTTGTCCACCTCTAACTTTAGACAGAAAGAAATTTACATCATCTTTAAAAAGTTTTATTTGACTCACATGTTAACAACTTGTGAAGAATATTTCACAATTGATCTTAGTTCCCATTTATCCATTATAATATTGAACGAATATTTTCTTCCAGTGGGACAAAACCCCTCAGCATGCATTTATGCTCATGTTTTTCTTGTTATGAGAAATGACAAGTGGTGATCACAATTCTCTTTCAAGAACCAATGACATTTCATTTTGACTAAATCAAACTCCATATCACAAGTCATTATGCCAATACTGTCATCATCCTTGAATTTCTCCCATAGACTCACCGTATGTTCCTTTATAAAAGCCTAAATCAGCACTGCGTACAAGACATTAAAAGAAAAATAAGACAGAAAAAGAAAAAAGAAAACAAAGAGAAAGGAAAAGAAGCACCAATCTTATATAAAATTAACAAAATAGGAGCCAGAAGGTATTCAGGTGTCTAGGTGATGAGACAGTATGCTCTATACCACAGCCATCCTACGCAGGGTATCCTCTGACCACGAGAGGGCGCCAGTAAGGTGTGCAGGTGTTTTAGACAATTGGCCGCACACCATCCTAATCCTGGCTGGAAGACATTTTGAGTGATGGCAGTGCAAATAGGTCTATTCTTTGCCTTGTATTCCAGCTCTAATGCCTCTAACTAGATGCAAAGGTATGCTAAATGCTGAAAGACAGCCCTATATATAGCCCTGCAATTATCCTGTGGAAATAAACATCTGAGTAATGAGAAATTAAAGGGAAAAATATTGAGAGTTTATAAGAAATAACTAAAGATTACTACATTTTCACTTTCTTAATAATCTCCTGGATGGAGAATTTAAGGACAGTATATATATCGGTAAATTACAGTGAAATTATAGAGAAAGCATGAAGTACTATAAGAAATTCATATAACCAGATAAGAAGAATGAAATATAACTAAAATGATCACATTATGCATTATGTGTGGAAATAAACAAATACAATTAACAGTGGGTATTAAAGAATGAGATAGTGATCTAATGGCAGAGGTAGCTGGAACAGGCAGGGCTGGATTATTGTCATAACTAGAATGTCAGCATATATGGAAGCAGTCCCATCTAGAAGTCAGAAAGACTAGAAGGAGGAGGAGTGCATGATGTATCAGAAACATCGATAATGTCTGAGAGATTACAGTAAAGAATGTGGTAATAATATCTTGGAATGGACCTACAGAAGAAAAAGTAAAAGGAAATTGTGTGTGAAGATCCTGGGGCATGAATAAAATTAATTTATATTCATATTAATCTCACCCCTCCAGTTTCTCAAATCCCCATAGACCTAACTATATATCACTTACCTTTTAAACATCTCTCCACAAATTCAAGATTTAGGCTAATTTAAAAACTCAAATCTGAAAATCAGATCCTGTCAAACTATGCCTTTAGAAATAAAAGACTTTAAAGCCCTACTCAAAGCTACCTCTCTGAGTTCACAAAAAGACTTAAGCTGTTTCTAGAGCACTTTGCAGTACCACGGTTATAACACTTAAAACCTGTTTATAGTTGTCTGTCACCTTCACTAGACTATAGCAGGGACAGGACTTTTTTTTTAGCTTGTTAGCCAAGTGCTTACAACATCTGACACACAGTGGGAACTCAATAAATGTCTGCTGCATTAGTTTTAAGATTACAACTGGAATGAAGACTACTTCAAATTGATACATATTTAGCTGATACATTTTTAAGAATATAATTTTTTAAAGCTAGACTTTATAAATAATCTAGTTACTGGTTAATTTTCATAATGGAAGCATTATTTTTGTGAACTACTAAACATTCTTAGTTTGCTGTTGTAAAGTAATTGATAAAGCCATAAAAGTGAAAGATCTTTTATAAACTGATCCAAGTATGTGTTAAAGTTAAGAAATTATGAGAAGGGCGAAGAAAGTAACGAGACTATTAAAGGCATATAAAATATACAGTATTAAACAGTTGAATGCAAAGAAGCATAGTAGCCCCACCTTATCCGTGGGGGATACATTCCAAGACCCTTAGTAGATGCCTGAAAGCACAGGTAGTACTGAACTCTGTATATACTATGTTTTTTCTTATACACATGAACCTATGATAAAATTTAATTTATAAATTGGGCACTGCAAGAGATTAACAATAATTAGTAATAAAACAATTATAACATTATACCATAATAAAAGTTATGTGAATATGCACTCTTATGCTCGTTCTCACTCCTTTTCTCAGTATTTTGACTATACTCATTTTTCCACTTAAAGGAAGCACTATACAGCTTCTCTTTGTCATATTCGAATTTCCAGCATCACCACTCTTGAGTTTTGGGCCATTATGAAGTAAAATAAGGATTACTTGAACACAAACACTGAGATGCCATGACAGTTGATAAGCAAGATGGCTGCTAAGTGACTAACGGGCAAGATGCATATAAAGCATGGAGATGCTGGACAAAGGGATGATTCACATCCGGGTGGAAGAAAGCAGGACAACACAAGATTTTATCATACTACTCAGATGGTTTGCAGTTTAAAACTTATGAATTACTTATTTTTCAAGAATTTCTTATTTAATATTTCTAGACCTAGATTGACCATGGGTAACTGAAACCACAGAAAGTGAAACTGAGGATAAGGGGGGACTACTGTAGTTTAGGGGAAGTCTTAATTGGCTTGTCTAAGGCTGAAGATAAAGAAGGGAAAGTGAGTCAGATTAGGGCACTGATTCTAAGACTATGTTAAAAGATCCTTTGTCACTGTTATATCTCATGCTTCCACGAAACTGAGAGAAATCCTAAATTGGTAAAAGTTCTAGGAATCTTCACTAACCAGGCATGATAGGCAGTTGTTTTCCAGACATTGTCCAAAGGACTCTTCACTCATCTGAGTAAACTTTGTAGAACTAGCTTCATTCGGAAGATGAGCTGTTGAGTCAATGCCATTGTATATTAAACCTCTGGATACAGAGTGTCTTAGTTGGCGAAAGCCGGCATTTTGTCCTCTAAGCCGTCCTCCCCAGCATGATGAATGAACCTTCACAATCATAACTCTAGCGTCTCTATTGTGACACTTTTAATGATAGACACTGTAATATAAAACAGAATAAATGGACAATTCAGTCGAGTAATTTGGAATATTCATACTTATTCGTCATGAAATACAAAATGACCAATCAACTTATTTTCACCACTTCTCCAATCATATTATCAAGTTTAAGATACACACCCATCAGACATCACCCTAGGTTCTCAATAGAGCATTTCCTCTGGTAGATTTCCTCCTCCTTGAAGCGAGCTTAGTAATTTTCAGGATGCCAGGACAATGAGAAGTACCAAGGGGTGGGGCATGGAAATAGTCCATTCCACCATCCACGGTTCATGTAACTTGGGAGTGGAACTTGCTCCCTTACAGCCCTGGGTGCTTCTTGAGTAGATGCCAGCACATTTTATGGTTTCACTGATGCTGCTGTTCTTCCCACATTCTACTTCTGATTCTCCATCTAGTCCCCTTTAGCCTCTGCTTCTCCACTTAGAATTCTTTCCTGCCTTCCTAAATTTGTAATCTTAAGTTTGTCAATTGTCCTCAATAATATAGGATAGTATAAATGCACAGACCTTGCTAGAGTAAGAATTCCAGAATTTAAATCCCAACTCTGCTACTTGCTAATTGTGTACTCTTGGTTAAGTCATCCCATCTTTCTGAGCCTCAATTTCTTCAGTGTGAAGAATAATAACCT